AACACCAAGGAAGAAAGTGGGAAAGAATATTTTTCAAAGAATCAGGGCAATCACTCCTCACCCGCAACCATTAATCAAATGAGAGCACTGTCCCGTGAAAAACTCCCGGGATTTATTCAGACGAGGTAGGCTAGTGTTGCCTTTATGCGTGCTCGCTGAAAGGCTGTTGAAATGGCCTGGGCACTTTGCATACACCACTGGTAGGCCACAACGATCGGGCCACCAAGGCTGAACATCTGGCACCCTCCAGCTTGCCGTTGTTGTGGGAATAATAAGAACACACGAAATGCTCGAAGGTATTCACACACCCACACACACTTTGATGACCTTATTCTGAGGCCAACTATAATTGCCGGAACTTCGGTTAGGTGGGAATGAGTAAAGCCGCGATATGGGAAAGATGAAAGCAGTGCTAACGACCAAAGTTGTAAACTTTGCTTGAATTTAAGCCCACTTATTCAGGCACAAATGAGCAATTTTAGGTAATTGTGGACATGACTATTATAGTATCATTAAAGCTTTAACATCATTCTCCCCTTAATCGCGTGGTTACTAATTTCCACTACAGCTGATTACTTTTCTGGTAAAAATAGCTGGTATAGAAGTGAAAATCCATTCAGAGAAGCCGGTAAGCCTTGCTTTATTCGTAAACAGAGTGGATGATTGATGGAGGGTCGGATGTGTTTCTCTTCTGAATGGAATTGAATGGGTGATCATCAAAGGAAAAGTCGAACTCCTTATACCCGTCTTCCGTTGTTTTTTTTCTATGACATCATTTAGCCATCATTAAGCCCCTTGTTACGACTGCACAAAGTTGATCTCATAACTTATGATGTGATAGGGGGAAACTAGTAGAACTAAGAAACTACACGGTTCTAGCTTAGCATGCGAAATAATTCGAATTCCCTGTTTATCACCCTAATTTTGCTTTCGCTGGAATTTGAAAAAATAAAATCTTGCACATCATTGAAAATATGCACGAACTCCCATTCAGAATCCCCCTTACTAATTTTTTATAAGTAGCATCATTCTTTCCCACGCTAATGTTGAACACTAGCAACCGAATAGCATTTCTGCACACCTAACTACCTATGCTTTTTTTGAGAATCAGAGGGTGTTAACCCATCTCAGGATTTAATATTATTTAATTCGATATTTAAAAAGGGGACATTGATTGACTTACTCAACTATTTACGAACAATTGAGTTATGAGTCGGCGAACGGATTGCTCCTCTACGTTTTTGCTAAAATTTTAGCCTTATTTTGACAATGATTGCTATGGTGTTACACTGACCTTCGCACCTTTCGAGAATCAGCTCCGGTCGAGCTAACGATATCGCCAGTCCTTCACCCCTTCTCTGCGCTTGTAAAACAGTTGCTTCCAGACTCAAGTCTTGTGTCGCGTTAAAGAATATCTCGGAGGCTACACCAATGGCACCATTCATTCATGCACTCATATGCAGCTAACATTCCAATTTCGCCATCTGGTTACCTTGGTAGACTTTCATTGATAAAAGTCGTCGGTTTTAGGTAGCCGAATCTGTCGTGAAAGATGCCAGCCAGACACTCTAACCGCAAGTCTTGTCTAGTGGCCAGTGATGGAACGATACCAGAATCAGACAGGTAGGAATCATTCATAACAAAACTGCTTACCTAGCACTTACGAAACCATGATTAGTGAACGAAATCAGGGCACATGTGCAAGAAGCTATTTGATCCTATTTTATCAGATTGCATTTTTGATTTTTGGCAAATGTTCCTGTGACAGCCGGTTGACGTACAAAATGCGTCTGCTGTAATGCACTTTCCAAAGCACATTACAAGTCCCAAAGTTATTGCTTAATTTAGAAATCTTCTAGCATTGTACAAAACATCCATACCATCTTCTAACAGATTTTGGTGGTTATGCGACAGTTGCTAGTTTTCTAGCGTTATACAGGCGTCAGAGGCGCCTCAAACTTCTCTTCGTATCGCCTACCTTTCTATCTTCTTGCACCAGATCTCATGAATAGCTAGTAAGGTAACCACAATTGCCTCAATGGAACGGTCCAATCCGAATGCTTACAAAGAACCCACCTCACGAAAAAAGAGGAAAATAAGTTCACAAGTGAAGCCAAACTTGGACAATCACGGATGCGAAATGCATTACACAGTGCGAGTACCACACAGATAAGGGGGAAGGGAATTCAGTTCCACAGAGGTAAAAATGGAACGGTCGGTTGAAAAAGCTGCACACAACACCTTAGTAGCGCGAACAAGTTTAAGGCCAAGCACACACACACAAAAACATGGAGAGAGAGAGAGAGAGATCCAACAGTAATAACAGTTGGAGGTGGAGTGGATGGGATTGGGTTAAGAGGGGTGGACATTTTGAGTGTGAACGCACACGAGACAGCGAGGTCGAGACTGGAAAAAGACAAGTGACGACACACTAGCACACGCACACACACATAGACATGCTTACGCACTAATCACATTAATACATGTCCTCCCTCCTTTTCAACCTCCTCTGTTCCCTTCTCCCTCTCTCACTCTCCTAGTCTCAGATTGTGTGCATGTGTGTTGGCCTTGTTCGAGGTTTACTCGTCTAAAATGGATCAACAGAGGGAAGGTTCAACGCGTGTACGCTTTATGCAACTGTTCGGTTATTCTTCCGTTGTTTTGTACAAGACAAAAGCAGCATTCTTTGCATATTAAGTGGAAAAAGAGACTTGGGAATAGAGAAAGACGTGTTTCCATAGGGTACTAGGTATCAACATGATGACTAGAAGCGGAATTAGAGTCGTTTTTTCTTGTCTGAGAATGTGAATGCACTGATGACCCGGAAAAGTGTTGTTGCGACTCGAGCAGACCGAAATTTCGAATGTCTATTATGGTATCCGAATCCGCCGCCTCCGCCACCGCTGCTTCTTCGACATCATCCTCGTCAAGTGCAGATCCCAGGCCACGAAGCTCGTCCTCTTGGAGAGGTCGAAAGCCATCGTAGCGCTTCCACTTGCCCCGCCGATGGCCAGTTCGTTGCTGAAGGTGGGCGGGTTTGCGCCAAGCCCAGGGTTGACTCTTGCGACTGCGGATGAGGATGAGCGCTATGATCGTCACCACTGTGCAGAGCGTGACAATGGTGCTGATGATGAATACCTTCTGAGTAAGGGTTCGATTTGTCAAGGCATAGGCGGGAAAGGCTGCTTTACCTTCGTCACTCCTTGTCATCTTCTTTCCACCCTCGCTCTTTTTGGCTAATTCACAAAAAAAATACTTCAGGGTTATCACAAACTCTGCAGCTGTAACCAAACCATCTATACTCTCCTGTTATTAACTATTTAAGAGATTCAAAACTCATTGACTGGTTTAATTCTCCTCCTCTACTACTTCAAGTATCTATTCCTTTTAATCATAACTTGTCGAGTTCCCCGGTAGCCAGCTCCACTGCACTGACTTCTTTAACATTTTTGTATAAGTTTGCCCAATAAAATGAGTGGGGGTAAGTTGAACGACTAACAGTATGTGGGTATTCTCAGCGCACCGATTCAGTGATGACCTCCGATCTCCTCAATGTGAAACATCATTAAAGCTAACACCAGCACTTGAAGTAGGGTCATTAAGTGAATTTTTTATGACTTCCATCGATCCTGTGAAGAAAGGTTTTTATCGATCAGAAAAAAACTGCTAAAAAGTTTTCTTGAAAGGAAGTTGTTTAAACGAAGCTCCATCCTTCATCATAGTGGAGGACGAAGCATTGTGTGTAAACTTGAAGGGTCGCAGACCATCTTCTTAATAGACGTTCAATGCATAAGGATTATGTAAATCGTGGTTTAAAAACTACATGGAATCCAAATCTTTATATCAAAGGAGCTACACAGCTAAAAAAAAGCTTTACCGACGCTTTTGTCCAAGGACTTAAATGCTAACAGGACAGAGAGAGGGAATGCGTTCGTCCGTCCAAAGCAATACGGATATCAAGGCCAACTACCAAAGCTAAGAGAGGGAGTTGAGATACATAAAAACTACGTACACTCAGTTGCAAATTAGAATAAATAATTGAAGAGAATCGCTGGCTTTTCGGATTTACCATCTTTTCGAAAAAAGACAGTTCCATTGATTGTGCTCCGAGCTTTTACGATCCGCAAATCCATTCTGATGGAAGAAGTGCCGAGAGGATGGTCACAATGTAAAGGTTCTCTTCTCAATGCATAACTTATGTATGACGGGAAGGTTTTGATTGAAACAATTACTTTTCATTTTATGTCCCTAGATGCGATAAAGTCACTGGAAAGTGTTTCAAAAGAGATTGTCATTCATATTTGTGTGTAGGTTTCCTTGGTTCCATCACGTAGTCCGCATTAATTACGACACAAAACCGTTTTAATCTGGTGAACTTGACGAGAATTCCGCGAATATTGATGATAATGCCGACGGGTAAGCTTTTACTGCATTACTTTTTTAAGGAAATAATGAAACTAATTGCAGTAAACTGTGCGGAAAGCATGAAGTCTCGAGAGGGGAGTAGAAAAAAAATTAATGATCAAACTCGGTTTTTGTGCTTGAATGGACTATTTCACTAACTTTGAAGAGAATTTTCAAAAACCATTTTTAAAAAGAATCACAACAGAATGGATCGACAGTTGCTGACTAACCTGACTCGACGATGTCGGTTTTCAGCAGATAGGGGGCTCTCAGCTGGGCTACGAAGAGCATCGAGCCGTCCTGGCTGACTTCAACGTCGTGAGGACTTCGTAGGTCCAGATGAAGGAGGTGATTGCGACCGTTGATTGCCCTGAAGATGTGTTGACTGGCATTGGTGACTTGAGCACCGAGGAGAGGACGGAAAACGAAGGCACTGTTGTTCGTGCTCTCCACATCCTCCTCTCTCACGTCCAGAATCGCCTGAAGGCGCGCTATTGTGGCCGGAGTCGCATCCGCCGGTCCGGTGACACCAAACATCAGGCTAAATGTGCATAAAGCCCGTTTAGATAAAGGATGGCGTTGAAATAGAGCGTCAGAATTAGAAGACGTTCTAAAAATCGCGAACTTTGCCTTCAATGTTTTAAAATGCTTAATTTTTATAGAGTTTCTTTGCAAAAAAGGGAGAAGCAAGTCTTATTTTACTATCTTTGAATTAAAAAACCCTTCAATCGGCTGAAACAATGAGTTTATACATAAATCTTGGAATAGTCTGTGGGTATCGGACCGTCTTACTGAACTCAAGTGCTTTCTACCGGGTGATTTCGCGACCTTCTGGTCAGAATCTGTACGCAAATCGACTTGGGACATGAAGTGTTATCGAAGGTAACAAAATAAACACAAAGTCACTGGGAGAATGTGTACCCACGACTATTTCGGACTGAAAGACCTACTATCCATTTCGTGGGGAGATTTCATATAAAGGCCACCAAACATAAAATTAGACCAAAACGTGTCGCTCAGGGTACGACCAAGTCGGAGGTCTGGAAAAAAATTGAGCTAATTAAAACCCGGAAGCATTCGATGTCATATTTTTTCTTTAGTAAAGGAAACAAAGGTGAAGGATAATATGTCAGTAAAGAAAATCTTAAGTGAGCAAATAATCAAACGACGGTTTCTCCTTGCAATGTAGCATATTCCATTGGTGTAAGCTTATCCTTTGAAGTAAGGAGGGAGCAGACTTTACTCTGCATGCTACTACGACACGTATGCCTTCAAAACTAACAGTATACTACAAGAAGAGGGCGGCTAAGCATCGGCAGCATGACTAATTCCATCTATCCTTTGTAGTGACATGAGTGATACGTCAGCAAGGATCCTTAAAGCATCACCCAAAATTTGACGCGTGCACGCAGCGTCTCCGCTCTTCTCTTCTCGCCGAAATCTTCATTTGAGGAGCTCTCACACACATGCGCGTGTTTGCCAGTTTTCATGTAAAATTAACGTGAGATAGGGCCTTACAATGCTCCGGTTTTGACTGTAAGGTAGGAGGAAACAAACCCCACCTATAATATGCAACAACAACGGATGAGAGCAGAAAAAAGTACGGGCCTTGAAGTAGGAAAGCATACCATTTCAAGATTGCTGTTTGTGTAGAGGTAGATAAAAATGATTGAATTTATCTGACAACACCAATTATGAAGCAGAAAAACCGCTTTTCTCGGCTATTAGGGAACAGATTAAAAGGATGTCCTCATTTGGAAGCATGCTTTATTCCAGCGCTGTTCGGCAAATAATTTGCAGCCGCTCATGATAAGCAAAGTTTGATTATTTTTCTAAAAAAAGGAGAGAGAATCATACCAAATAAGTATTTTAGGTTATATCTGTGGTTGAAGAGGTATTGCACAAGACCACAACAAGCATGAGAAACGCATATGATCCGGTTCTGATAGGTAAACATTGACAAAAGAGCAACATCGCCGACTCACTTGTAGGCGGGGCTGAAGGCGATCGCGTAGACGGAGGGCTTGAGAATGCTGCCGCCATACTGAACGAGACGTCGGCCGCTGAGGTCGTAGCAGTCAATTTGCGCGCGCTCGCGATCGGCAACGCAGACCTGCTCCACACCGCCCGCGCCCTCAGCCGAGGCGGGCACAACAGTGATACTGTGCGCCACCAGAAAGCCGGTTTTTCTGGAGCCTTCCGTCTCGTCAACTCCTCCCACGCCCCATTCTGCCATGTAATCACCGTTAGGCGAGAACTTCACCACACGCTGGTTGCAGTAACCGTCCGCCACGAATATCTCGCCCTGATCGGATTAAATAGGTCATAGCAATCCTGAAAAACTAATAGGGTGTTTTGGATTTTCAGAAGCTTGTAAAATAAGTAGAAATGGAATAATCTTGATAGCAATCTTAGTAAATTTTGCTTACTACATCATGACTTCACTACGAAACAAGGGAGGTTTTCAAGTATCTTGTTGCGAAAATCGAAAGGAGTAAGGAGAATGCACCTCACCTTCTCGTTAAGGAGAGAGTAATACAAATAAAAGCAAAATTGACGAATAAATGAGACCGAACTAGCGACAATTTCGTCCTACATAGTAAATTTCTTCATGTACGTTAGGTAGTTTCCAACTAGCTTTCAGTCTTTCATAAAGTTGTATACCCTTACCGTACTAGCGACAGCGACATCAGAAGGTTTGCAGAAGGACGTCTCATCATTTCCCGTCTTATTTCTTCGTCCAAGTATCAGAGCGGGTTTATTCCACTCATTCCATGCAAACTTTATTACCTGATGACGCGCAAGGTCAGTGACGAATAGGGCGATTGGTTTGCCAGCCACGTCTTTGGCGATGGAGATACCGTGAGGCAGGATGAGGAGGTCATCGCCAAATGCTTCAAACAACTGTCCCGAATGCGCGTCTAAGTGAAGAATTGGCGAGGGTACATAAGTGGCATCAGGCTCATTGTACTCGAAGCTTTCGTCAAATGAGTTCTCGTTCCAGGGGTTTCCACCACGACGAAGGACGAAGAGGTGAGTTCTACCCTTACTGTCGTCAACTAGAGCTATTCCTGACACCTAAAAAGAATCATCAGTAGGTGCTGATGCGTCGAAGTCTTGATAGTTTCCGATGGATGACCTAGTTTCCTGCCCTTTTTTCCGAACTAATTACTATGTACTACTCCAGCAAATAAAAGGGCGTGTAGATTCAGCTACCCCTTACACTTCCCAGACGAGTGCCCTTAATGAACCACTCATTATCGGGCAGAAAGTCGATTGAACGAGGAAGAGAGGGTGCCGATGGCTCCGGAACTTTGGCCGGAGGAGTGCTGGTGACGTATTCCAGCGATTCAGTAGGTGCGTTGTCCCACGCTCCAGAAACCATCTCATCAGCGCACATCTCAGACTCAACTGGCAGTTTGAAATGCGAACTAGGAAAAACAGTCATTATGGTCAGTAAATCAATGTGGTGCTACAAAGATTTAAGCCTCACGTGTTTTAACAGGGGGTTCTACTATAGCGGTGGTGCACACATTAGTAAGTGGCGAGTCACTCATTTTACGGGTCCCCGACGCACGTGTCACGAGTCATTCCACAAGTTGCTAATCAAGATGGCAGCCAACAGTGGCACTAAGCGCGTGCAATTGACAAGATGTAAATGCAGACATCAAACTCGAACCCTCACGTATCTATAAAAGGCTTCACGAGCGGTATAATACGATTATGAGACTCTTATCCTCTCAAAGGCAATGCATGTGGATGGTTTAAATGCATGCGCTTAGGTAACGGTTCTACGTTTGCACATCAGTGAGGATCCCGTCATTTAATAGTGTTTACGTTTCCAGCCCGCAGCCACGACGGTCACGCAGGACTGTGAGCATTCAGCCAGCGCGTGAATGCCCGATCAGCCGGTAACCTGCGGTGTAATGTAATTGCACAGGAGATAGATCTTTCTGTGCCAACAGTGAGCATAATCGCCTAAGAATATTTGCAATTTGGAAAGCTAGCTCACTCCAGGCATCAAGATGGCGGAGCAGGCTGTCCCAGGATAGTTCGGCTGAGCTAATAAATCCCTCCATATTGAAGCTTTCCAGGTATTAGTCAAATGCTGGAATGAGCGTTTTAATGTGAGGGAGGACTAAGTTGAAAAGTAAATGCAGTCTATACTCATTGAAAGTTGGTCTTGGTCATTTTAAACACTTATATCTAGGTTTAACTTGAGCGCCCTCCGAAGACTAAGATTACTCTGTACTCATTGAAAACTCAATTAATGTATTTCCTTAACCTCAACGAGAAGGTTCGTAGTTAACCTGTACCAATTTCCGCTACAATTTCTCACGCCGGAGAAAGCCGGTAGCCACAAAAAGATTATCTAATGAGGTATGATTGGGTGGAAGAAGAAGAATATCACGGCTGCTTGAAATAGCACTAATTATGAATGCCACGTTGGCAAACGCCCACGTCCTCGCGCTCGCAGTTCCAAGAGGGGGTTACTCTAAGCCCTTTAACCGGATTGGACGCCAGTTGAGTTGAACTTATCTCTTCCTTTCCTTGCTTGGGTGCCTCCCGCCAATCAGGTGGCAGCGACTGGGACAGAAGAGGGGAATGGCGGATGGATTATGCCCGTACTAATGGGATTCTGTGGTCACGCGAACGAATTGATAGTAAGAGGAGGTGTAGTGAGGGTGAGGTATGGTGATAAAGGTGAAATGGGGAACGCCAAAAACCGAGGTTTGGAATTAACATAAAAGCGCTAATATTAGGACTAAAAGAAAAGTAAATTGCAAGTTTCGATATAAATAGACCTAGTTGAGTGAGCACAACGGATGCAGTACAATCCAACATGTTACATGCTCGATTTTGTATGAATTTTTGCCCGAACCCCCAATTGCTATATATGTATATCGTTAGTATCGAGTTTATTAACGATAAATTACCCCAGGCTATCGTCAATCTCGTACATAACTAGCAAGTCTGCAATAGTGTAGTTGGTCATGGACATTCTTATGCCACTCACTTGGATTCAATTTTTAAATTATTAAAGGTAACAGGAAAAGATTTCACAAAGCATAGAATCTCCCTCTTTAGCACTGTAGTTTGTTCAAACGAAATGATAAAATAAACGGCTGGCTTCGAAGTTGTTTAAAATAGTCCATTGCATTTGCCGTTAGGCATGATATGCTTGTTAGAAGATACTTCAAATTAAAGCGCATGATGCTCCCCTTCATGGGTAAGAGTGTTCTCTTTTGCTCACATCTATCGCATTCCTCCATGACATTTAAATGCTTATATTCCACACCTTACTACAAGTTTGCATTGCAAATAAGGTGAATTCTGAACTTTAGTCAAAGTGTCTTTGAAATTCCTCCCGAAACCTCATACACATTTAGCGGAAGGCATTTTTTTTCTAAGACAACGAGTTTCGCGCTAAACCTAGACGTCTGTGCATTTTACCAAAAAATTCAGCCCCATCTTTTTCTCGATGCACCCCTTTCGAACGTTAATTGTACGTTATTTCTAAAGTAGAAGAGCCAACTAGTGTTTTCAATGATCAGAAATAGACAAGATAAATCCCTGCATAAATGTTTGTTGCGAAGATTGCACTCAGAGCTCCCCCAATTCCTCTTATGCAAGATGGTGAACAATTGGTTGAAGGATCTTAGATTGGGTGTCTTTCGGGCCTCTTCGAGGTTCAATTAACGTCACTCACCCCTGACCCTGATCCCGTCTTAGAAGACTGACATGACGGGAGAGTGTTATGGAATGCATTTAACCGAAACTGCAGGACATTTAACGATTCAAGGTAGGATAATTTTTATCAGTAAGATATGAATTTTACGCGAGTAAATGGAATACAAGTACTTCATTAAATTACATTAAACTAGCAAAAGTCACTTCCTAATCGAGACCTAACAGTGGTTCCAATTTTATATTACTAATAATGGAAGTCAAAAACGAATAAATTGGAAGCAAGGGCTTGTATGATAGTGTTTAAATTCTTTAGAAATTTGGCCTGAGAAATTTATGATCATATCTAAATTTACGCTAGTTTCCGATATTTGAGTAACCACTTTGAATAAAGTCAGAATGCCTGACATTACGAAACTTTAAGCTACGTTATTAGCCCAAGTTATGAGAAGTTTCAGCGTTATGGCGATGGACAACTTACTCTATCATATACATTAGATAGAGGTTGCACATCTCATCCATATGAGTGGACCCCATGGAGGTCGGTGTGTCGCGAGCAGTTGAGTCGTAGACACATCGACCCATTAAGATGTCTTTATTCTGTAGACGAATAAAATCGTCACCAGCAGAGAGTTGCGAGGGTCTGTAAAAGGTCTGGGGCCAATGAGCATTGCCCTTAGCCATCAGCTGGTAACGACCGTCCCGGGGACGGAAGTAGTACCCGTACACCCCTCTGTTTAGGTCGTGTGCATGAGTTCGGATTCCAAAAACATGGATTGGAACCTCTGTGCGCAGTCTGAAATGCAAGACTGAAGCGTCAATAGACAAATAAGTTATAAAGTCAGAGACTAAAAGCATCAAATGCAGAATGGTTTTGGGAAAAACGAAATAACCTAAACACTCGAGAGTGTAAGTTTGGTCTGCGTTAACAAGGTACGTCAAAATTAGCAAAAGTTCCAGATTCTATTCACTTTTTTGTCATACCTATATATCACTCATATTTGTTACACAGATATTGTTTTATTTTTGATGGCAAGACTAAGAGTGGGTTGGGACCCTGTATAAGTATGAACCTAACCTGCAGGAAATATTTGTCGGAAAATGTTGAGCGTGTGGAGGAATAGTGGCCTCATCATTGTACAGAAGAATAATGCCGGCACGATTCGGTTGGGGTTGGAGAGTGTAGGTGAGCTCGATGGTAGCGTAATCAGGATTTTCCTCATAACGACTGTAGTGGACTTCCATTGAAAGAGATTTAATTGGAGTGGTGCGTCCAATTTCAAAAGCAGTCCTCTCAGGAAGAACGAGGGGCGCGCCGTTGTGTGCCCAGGCATACAAGATGTGGGTTCTGCATTGGCCATCACAAGGACCAGGACGACTGGCTTCTTCACCTCCTAACCAAGTGCCACAGGAACTCAGTATAATATGATGAACGGAAGCATTAACGATGGGCTTAAATGCAGTAACGTAGCCAGGATAATATTTGAAATCTGGGAGTGGAATTCGCGTACAAATATATTCATCAGCCTTCCGAGGGTATGCACCAGGCATTGTAGCGAAAAACCTCCCTGCAAGTACGGAAGTTGCACACAAAATAAGGGTGCAAGCGCATTTCCAAAACCCACCCATCCTATCCCAACCAAACCCAATCTGCCAACTGCCCAAAACAACAGCGCGGCAACCTTCAATAACTAGTCAAGTGGTCAGTTGAAACATATTCTCAGATCTATAAATTTGTAGACATTGACAATTCTCAAGAAAAAACTAAATAATTATGCCTTAAAAATTTGCAACGGCAAAATTATCCTATCCGTTGGATGCACAAATAAGTAATCGATTCCAATAAAAAAACTCACTTTACTAAATTTTAGAGCAAAAATTGTGTCGCTATAAGGAACTTTTCAGAAAAAAACGGAAGTTGATTCAAATTTTGGGATAGAGTAGCGACTAACACCTTCCGAAACAGAGAAAAACCCCGTCCCCAGATCGCCCCAAACGTGGATCTATCCCTATTGAGGCCAAACAATGAGCATGTTCCAATCAAATCAGTCGCCTTGTTTTATGGGTTCAAAGGTTGCGAAAAAAAAGGTGGGCGAGGATGGTACTACACTGATGGCAGCGCCGATGGACCTTCCCCTTTCAAAGACGACATGAACTTTGAAGTGTTACTCAAAACCGCCAATTCAACTTCTTTTATGCTCAGCGCCGAACTGAAACTAGTGCTAAGCTATCTGTGAGACGTAAAGCCGACCCTGAACTCGAAAAAGCACCGTTTTTTTACGGCTTGGTCACCATCCTGGGACATATTATCTCGTCAGATGGAATGACAGTCACTGAAGTCTGTGCAAAACTAGTGAGTACACGGCCTACGTCAAGCATTCAGACAAAGCTCTGCAAGTTCCTAAACATGACAAGTTATTTTCTGCGCTTGGTAAAAGGTTTTGCTAAGATCGCCAGTCCGCTGTATAATTTAACCTAAAAGAAGGAGCGATAAAATCTCGAGTAGGAGAAAGAGCATGATAAAGTGTTTAATGAACTAAAGTTAATGCCTCGCTGCACGCCGATTCTAGTATTAATCAAACATTAAATCGAGCTCTCCACTGCTTGTACTGGAAACGAATGCGGGCGAAGCAGCCTTGGGCAGTGTACTCTTACAAAGGGACAAAGAAGGTAGAGAACATGTCGCCACTCATTCGAGTATCAGGCTCAGCAAAAAATGAGACAGAAAAATGTAACGTGCCGCAGGTTGTTTGCTATCTTCTCAATGGTTAGACGCTTCAGACACAACCAGATAGCAAGGGAGATCATAGTTGGGGCCGATCATCAGGCACTGACCTGGCCAAAAACAATGAAGGAGGTCGACGCTTCACTTGCATGCTGGTACAAAGAACTGCACCAGTATCATTTTACAGTTCAATACAGAAAAGAAAGTGCCCGTGGTAATATGGATGTACTATCCCGCAGACCGACTGCAGCAGAAACAGGTCACCCTGTGGTGAGCACCATATTTTTGAGCGACCCTACCGAACACCATTGGAAAAATACGCAAAGTACCGGTCCTGACACTGTTCTGATATATTAGGAATCTCCGGCATCCCCTCATAAACCCAAAGTGGAAGAGATGACGTCATCGGGTAAGGCAACAACAATCGGAAGTCGCTCTAAAGGATGTGATTTTATGGCATCAAGAAGCCGTCGAACCGCCTAAGCTCCTAGTAGTTCCTGTTCCTCAAGAGTTGCATGAGCAACTCGGCCACGTAGGTGAAAAAGGCCTGCTAGAGGACTCTAGCAAAAGACAGTGGCGGTCTTCGCTCACTCCAGGCGTACTAGATTTTGCAGAACCTGCACCACTTGCATCAGCTTCAAAAGGCATCATCCCACACCGATCGCACCACTGCAACCCATGCCCACGGGTTTCCCATGGAAAAGAGTAATTATAGACATAATGGATCAAGGCTTTAACTCCGAGAGCCGCCTCTTCATCAAACTATGTAGAACCTTCCGGATCTCAAAGAAACGCGTGACACCTGGGTCTTAGCAAGAAAATGGACAGGTGGAAAGAACGAATCGCACTCTGATCAGACTACTGAAGGCACAACCAGAAGACTGAAATTTAAGCCTAGAACGTATCCTTCTCTTGTACAGGGCTGCGGACCCACCTCACCAAGAGTATCCCCGTTCTAGATGCTCATAGTTAGAGAGATGAGAGTGCCTTCCGACACCTTCCTGCCAAACACAGACGGGGCGATCAATATTATTTCAGTGTACGTACTGCATCTGAAAGAAAGCAAAAGAAAAACTTTGACCAAGCACAAAAATACTTACTACAAACGTAGCCGGAAGCATGTTTGGAGTGCGACTCTCTGCAAAATTACAGACCAATTTCCCCACCTGGAATGCACTGCGAATCCAATCACTGTGATGCAAAGATCTATTTCAAGTTATGAAAGTGCTCCCACCTGCAATGCACATCCTCCCACCAAAAGATGCGACTCCACAAAGGTACACCACCAATTGGATATGAAGATGAGGTGTACGCAATAACGGGAGACAGGAAACCACTGGATGACAAATTTGAAGACAGTTCATAAGTAGCTGCATCAAAGATCGTGCCAAAAGGATGAGGAGGCTAGGTAAAACTTATGTTGCTTAAAGGAACTTTTCAGAAACGAAATGAGAGCCGACCTGAACCTCGTGACAGAGCAGTGGTCAACATTTCCCCAGGTCTTCCCAAACTTGTACCTATCTCCATTAACGCTAAACACTGAATATATCCTAGTACAAACAGTCTCGTCATTCTATGAGTATGAAGGCCAGGGAAGAGAAGATGAGCGGGGACCGTGCTACATTAATGGAGTACTTGTGTTGTTTTAATGTACCTTTCATGGAGGAGGCAATTAGGAAATTCGAATCTCGTGACTGGATTGTCCTCTCCCTTACCTAGCGACTGCGGCTCCCCCCTTCTTGAACATTGTATTTTCCCTCTCCATCTTGTCACCTTTAATAAAGATGTCCAAAGCAAATCAACCGGGCTTGTCTAGGAACGCTAGGAATAGAAGAGCGGAGACCGATGAGTCTCGCCCCACATTAAGGTTTCAAAAGCTGTTTTGCTGTGTAATTTTAGCGATTGAGACAAAATGTATAAATAAACATAAATTAAGATAGGAATTCCCTTGAAATTGCCAAAATTAACTAAGTGACAATTATTTTTATCATTTTGCTTAATATAGCCATGTTGTCAGGTCAATTCCGAAGAATAAGTAAGTTATATGGGGTGAGCTAATTTGCTGACTACCATTGGAGGTTTCACTGCAATTATGTACATAGTTTGGGAAATACTTGAAGCTCGTAGTGCGTTTGCCTTTACGTGTAATCATTTACTAATTTCATGGCATCCACCTGCATTTGCACGTGCGATCCTCACTTTTGCTGGCATGTTTGATGATGTGATTTATTCATCCTGCACACTAACATTAATCTTAAATTCGACTTTTTGATAGAATTTGTTGTATCCGCTTTTGTTGTAATGCTTAATTGTAAAAAAATTTCGATTTATTTCTGAACCAAGCCACTAGTGGTGTTTCCTTTTTTATACAAAATTGTAATCTTTTAAATGAGCTCTGCCCAAAATGCATACCCGTTTTCGTTTAGTAATATATATTTTTTGACACTTTCGACCCATTTTATTCCGTGTATCTGTTTTGGAGCACTTTGCATCGTGGGGTTTGTTTTAAATAACTCTAATCCCAGAGGCATTTTGACCTTCCCTTTTGCTGTTTTTCATTTCTTCACTGTGGCTTCGTCGCGTGTGTCGACTTCGTCATTGTTTGCAGATGCTCTTAGTGGTTTATATTTAGTAGCATTTGCGAGTGGCCTTTAAGGGCTTACTGCCACTCTATATTTGTTTTACAAATATAGGTCCTCCTAGTATTCCTAACAATTCAACTACTATTTTGAGGTTTACGCAGGATTTCTTGCCCATACTTGTTTTAAGGCTTTTGTAATTTTTTGACTGCGTTGCTACGATTGGACCCTTTGCACGCTTTGTAGTTCTTTCTTGTGAACTTTGATGTAGGTTATTCTCAGCGGTTTGATTCACTTCCAATCTCCTACCTGCATCTATTTTCTTCCAAACAGAATGAATGCAAGTGACGGACTACTCATTCTACATCAATCTAACAGTTTTGTGCGATATCATGGCGTCAAGTCATAATTACAATTAGCAGCACCGTCTAACATTGTCGATTTGTCCCTCACCTCATTACCGATTCTCTGTTAATTTTACCATTAGCGCTAATTTGTACTGGGATTACCATTTTAATTGGGTAAGGAATGGCTACAGCAACAACAGAATCACACGAAGATGCGACGTGTTTACAAGGTATGGCTGTAGAGCACCACAATTACTACAATTCGGACCATGGTGCTTCCGAAGCAGATACCAGTGCACTTCTCCACTTACAAAATAAGCAGATGGAGGACATTCCCGAGGAGGAGTGCTGGCTCTTCAAACCCTCTAAGGTGACAGGTCCAACTGCTTCTCCCTCAAATAACTCCTGCTTCCTATGGGCGCGCGAGGTCTTCGATTCACCCTCTTCCGAGTTCTACCACCGTCGCCGTGATCTTTTGAACCGGCTTGAGTTTATTCTTGCCACAGAACCGGCCAAACGCCTACCCTACCTTGGTGGAAGCGTTCCTGCTCTCAACACCAACCTTCCTACCGTCGCTCCTACACCCCTTGCCAAATCTCGCGCCATCGGCGGTGGTAGTGGACAGAATTTTGGTCCGGGTAGCAGCGCTACTTTCATTCGTCCAAAACGTCACGCCTCTGAGATGGTGCCACAACACTCGCATCAGCGCTCCTCTCCCGTTGGCAACCGCTCTCCAGTGCCTTTCAAGACCTCTTCAGGTTCAACTGACGATCTGCAAAATGTCGCCGACTTGCAGAGTATGGCTCGTAAACAAGAGGATGAACTGAAAGCAGAAGTTGCGGCTATCTCCGCCCACCAACAAGCCTCGCGCATGGGTAGTAGCCAACAGTCTCTCAATTCGGCTAACCGATCCGGCCAAGAGAGCCCCTACAACAGCCAATCGCGGCTCAATGTATCCTCCAGCCCCTTGCCTAGCGACATTGCCAAGCAACAGATGACAGCCCTGCGACTATCACTCGACAGCCAACGCCATGCTTCAGCAGTACATCGTGGTGATGGGAGCGAAGAGAATATGATAGTAGATGGTGAGGCGAGTGTCACCTCACCGAGCCTGCGAAGCAGTCTGAATCAGATGCAGCCACCCCTCATGGATAATTTTCCTCCATCGGGCGCTCAACAAGCGGTGATTGTGGGCAGACCGATGGGCATGATGGTTTCTCGCCTGCCCGCTCCAATACGTCGGGGGCCTCGGTTCCCCAGCACTGAGACTCTCCCCTCTTTCGGTTGGGGTGATGGTCTCTATCCCGGTGGACCGATGCGGCGTAGCAGCCAGGAGCAACTCGCCGCTCGGCGCATTCCCATGCCTCCGCCGCGCTCGGGTTCCTCACTCTCTAGTGTAGGACTTCAGCAACAGTAGTTCTTCCTCGTCCCCATCACTTATCACTGCATTTACTGATCTGTGTACCTTCTTTCTCTTTTCTGTTTCCTTCATTTTATTCACTTTGTTAGCATTTGATCCGTTCCTGCTACAATAAAAATCCCAACCTTGGATAGCGACTTTTTTTTCCTGTTTTATGTTGGACTGGATATGTGCCAGCGTGTTTCTCTCATTTCAGTTGGTTGATGTCCACTTCTGACAGCTTAAATGGTGAGGTTTATTCTACCTTTTCTTGTCCATGTAAGCAGTAGCTTCATTTAACTGTCGATTTTCTTGCATTCACCGTAGAGTCAATCACAAGCTGTGAGGAAGCGCTGAGATTCGTAAATGACTATGCCTACCTGTGTGGTCAAAGCTTGGAGGATATGAAGAGCTTTCATCCTACAAAATGTAACCCAGCTTGTGATCGTTTGCGGGCAGATTTGGCCCAACTGCTGGAAGAGAAGAAACTGGTCGAGGCAGAACTGAATACACTGCAGGCGAATCGAGAGCGAGCTATTGCGTTGTTGGAAATGTTTGGGCTCACTTGAACTGCCTTTCCTTCCAATCTCTCGTTTACTAGTCTTTCTTTGTCCTTCTTTGTGATTAAAAGTTCTCTAACTATCCTTAATGTTGATGTTTAATTTTACCCTCATATTTGTTATCTTGGAGCTCTCTGCTCATGTGCTGTTTTCGTTGATAATGTGATTGGTGTTAGGATTGTGTGGAACGCTATGTGTGGCTTCGTTATAGCTATTTGCTCTACTGACTTGGAATGTAAAGTTAATTGTCTAGATGTGGCCGCTCGGTTCGTTTATGGGTTTTCGATCGTATAATTTCTCAAATAAGACCTCGCCTATCAGGTAACGTCCATCGCCTACGTCTGATGATGCACTCGCCACCTTCGCTCAGAAGAAAGCGATCAACACGGTGTACGGAGTTTCTTTCGACTAGTGAAAAACGGAAGCAAATCTATCCTTCACCAATCCTCCTGCGATAGCGCCGGATACAATCGGGATGTTCGTCCCGCACGTGGCGCTAGTGACGAAATTGTTAACAGTTCTTTGTTAATGAACTTGCCAACTGACAATGGGCAAGTATCGCAGGTTGGTTATTAAATCTTTGGTTTACTTTTTTTTTCTTGAGAAGGACACAACGTATTCCCAACCTTTACATTTTTTTCATCTGTGGTTATCGTATCCGAATTCGCGTGTTATTAAATTACAAAAAACGATTTGCACACCCTCACAAATCCTTGTGATTTTTGGTATGCAAATGAAAAATTCTGGTCGCAATGGCATTTGGGCCACATAGAAATGAATCCAGTAACATCGACTGGAATCTCGATTGCTCTTTCCTGTGTGCCGATAATAGGCTGTGTTCCGTCATTTGTCTTATTCATGGTAATTCGCTCTGCGCCAATGGTTTATTGCGTCACTGACTTCACAGCTATCTATAGTTTCTACTGCAAAGCAACTCACCGTCTTATTTCAGGATTCGAAATTACTTGGGCTGAAATCAGTTCCAAACAAATGGCCAAGTTAGATTGTTTGGGATTAAACTACTGTTATTTATGTCTTCTATTCCTCATCGCTTTAAGACATTATGTTGGTTGCTTGGCTTCCGTTGAACACTTAAAGTCAGAAATTAGAGACCATCAAAATTCCAAGCTGTGGCTGTTGTAAAACCATCACGCCCGCTGCACGGATGCCAGCCCGGGAGCTCATTGTGAGGATGACGGCAGGCTTGGCCGCATCATTGACCAAGGCAGTCAATCAGGGTAGTACTGGAAGACTATCAACGGTCCTAGGCACATCCGCCCTTGTATTAGCTCGTCATTGTTTTTTTATGTAAGCTCTGCATCGTCAGGATCCTTGACTTCTCTTTACTGCGGGCGACAAGGTGGCCTGTCACTTTTAGTCGACACACATGCCGTAGTCAATCCTGTCCAGACACCGATGGTCAAGGTGACAGGCTACAGAGGTGGGACGTGTCAGCACAGAGTAATGCGTTGTGATAAGTGAAATTTCCCGTGAACCCGTAGTTATCTCTTTGTACAGAAGACTTCAGACACACTAAGGATATGGCGACGGGTAAGACATTTTAGCGATTTAAATGCAAACGCTTCTGGTTGGCTGATTGCCTATAAGGTAGTAAGATCCGCACCCATGGCCTCAGCATTTATTCAGTGCTGTGAAAATTTCAACATGGAAGAGTTAGGGTATGCTGGATATCACTAACAGCTCTCCACGTTGAATGCTGCACTGAGTTGATGGAGCGTTACACCATGGAAGGTGCTAATTTTCTAGACCTCATCAATACATTTGTTGAAATCCGAATCCATTGGTCTACTCTTGATGCTTGTGTTTCATCACCAATGACAAGGAAAGGCAGGCTGTCCCAGGCGGGTTCAGTCATGCAAACGAGTCTCCCCATGCCGAAGCTTCCTAGGTATTGGTTAGGTTCTGGAATAAGCACATAAATGGAACAAAGGACTAAGCAAGAAGGAAGGCCAGTCTCCACTTCTTGAATTTCGATTCTTTTCGTCTTTTAACATCCTAAACACTGCTTCAACTTAGGCGTCCCTCGTACTCTTCACCGCTGATTACAATGAACAACCGACTTTGTCGTTCTTTGGTTCCATGGAAGTAACACAGCGCGCTCTGGCCGTCGACTGCACATTTAAAGGGGGAATGACTCACACCTCCCTCCGAAGAGGATCTGCACATCACACTGGCGGCAACAGGCGCATCGCACACCCGCTTTTAGTGACCTTCGGTGCCTTGGCAACAAAGGGAGCGCAATTTTCTGCTTCTAATGCCAGCAGATAGGCATGGATTGACATCGACTTTATTAACGAGCTGGCAAATCTCCCACTTCTTTTAGTGGTTTTGAGAATATTGTTTTACTTTTAATGCAAAAATCGTTCATTTCATAACCCTGTAGCGGGAAATAATTGTCCTCAAGAAAATGAAGTATCATCCCTGTTACAATCAATAAGGCGCTGCGATTGTCTTCTTAGGCCTACAAAGTAACAGGGTAAACACCAAGGTATCCAGTGATGCCTGTCTTCCAGTGCTCTCCAGCGGAGTCTGTAAAATCCTCGTTTTTTGTGTCTTTTCAACTCATACTTGTCCACGGGTCAATATTCTTTTCTGCTCATTGTATTTCGTTGCATACCCGAGCCCTGAATCTACTTGTGTTTCGAGTGATTGGTATATTTTTTTAAAAAAGGAAAAAAACACGTTTCAAATCGTTGACAATTTGAAGTTGTAATGCCTCAACTGTTTAACTCTCGCTTTTAACAAGGGGTTGATTAGGGGCTCCGTCATCGTACCCCAGCCGGGTGGCCTGACATCTGGAGCAGGTTGGTAGCCCCAAGCCCTTCTGTGTGTGTGCAGTACATTTCCTACCCTAGAATTATGACTTATTTCGTCTTCACGGAAGTCTCAAGATGCTACACAACAATTTATAGGGCTTTGGTTCTGGCAGCAAGATAATTTTCTTTTAAAGAAGCGCCGTTATTTTGCTGGCCTACTTGAATAGTATCTAACTCTAACCGTATAACTGCTCTAGGCATTCGTTAACATTCCCATTCAAGATATCAAAGGTAAATGGCTGGTGGGCTTATGATATTTTCACTTTTAAAGCCACCATACGAGTTCATAACTTAAAAAGTGTTTTATTGCTGCGTTGGAAGGAATACAGTGCAAAATGATCCATTGCATTAGCTCAATTTTTGGGTGCAGAAGTGACACCTTTTAAATTCAACGTATTTGCGACTTTTCTCGTCTCTTACTTTCCCAATATCAGTGGAAAAGTCCCAATACTTGTTCGAGATGTTAGTAGCCCCTAGCCTTACTCTACATCGGCAGCGCATATTTTACCCAAGTATTGTGACTTCATTCGTCTTCAGGAATGACCTGGGACGCCGTATCGGTGGCGGCGGAAAGTGGACCCAATCCTAAAGGTCGAATACCCTAATTTCTATTACTTAATGCTAAATCTTGACGTAGCGGAAGAAGGGCATATGCTGCGGATGGGACAGTCTGCGACGAGTCCTGGCAACTACCCCAGTCCCGCGTTCTATGCGAATGCTACTAACAACTGAAGCGACACGAGCTGTGACGGTGAATCATGTGGAAAAGGTCGTTACAGAGCTGTCTACGGTATCTATATGAAGATGTCAATCATGTAGACACGCGATACCTCCTTCGCCTCCCTGCTCATCGGACAGAACCCAGATTGCTTTGTCTGAGCTGCACGGAAGTGAAAAGTGACAAGGAGGAACAGACATGAATCTTTTAACTTTGCGAAACTATTTCAAGCACTGCCTTTTATTGCATGACTTCATGCTGGCCAGTGTTCCTAGGACCATTGCTTGACATGCGTGATGGCCAGCGTATGCCTTCTTCTACAATATAGTTCCCAAAGGGGACGAAACTCCAGATCCAGTAGAATTGCCAAGAGTTTCAGTCAGGCGTCTTCTTAGTTGTGCTCAATTTCGATGACTGGTGTGGTTGGTTCGTAGGTTTTTTTGTTTGTAATGCGCCGGCCAGGTTTTACGATTAACGCGGGTGACTAACCAAGAGGATTGCGGGGGACGTTGGTCAAAAGGAGTGAGTCGCTACACAAATCCTTGATTATTTTCTTAACTTTTTATTGTGGTGTCAGGGGTATTTAAAGCTTAGCCATACCAATAGCCTTCAGCCTTCCTCTACGTCGACAGCGCATATTCTGCCCTAGAATTGCGGCTTCTTTCGTCTTCAGGGATGCCTAGAGGCACTACGGATGCTCCCCATTCTTAAATGTAAATTTCCAACATCTGATACCACTTCTCTAACCTTTGGGAATAAATGTCCAAAGGGTTCTGAGTAGAATTTGGCTGAAATTCATAGGCATTTTTTAAATACTACGATATGCTATATATAAATAAATGGATGTATGCTTAAGATAAATGCACTACTTTCCATTTAAAAGTAGGGCTTTCCATGAGTTCCACATTTCGCGTTTCTGATTTTTAATCAAATCCCTTAACAATACAGCAGCGCTTTATACCATTTAGCCGATTTCCACTTGTTACCACCAAGTGGATACTTGCGTCCTCCCCACACAAACATGTCCCGGTAGCCCCGAGGCGCTTGGGTTCACATCAGTCGAAAGGGTTAGTTACCCTAATCCCACCGGTTGGAAGCGTGCCAGATGCATCCAACCGCTGCCAACTCTGTGGTTTAAATCTTCCAAAAACACTGCAAACCGACTTGCAGTGTTGGCTTTTTCCGCAGACAGTGTCCAGCATTGATTTCGATTGCATACTTTCGGAAGCACAGCCAACAAATTCACTTCGTCCCCTACCCTGTGACTCAGTTGCCTCACGCATTGTGAAACTGCCATTTATGTAAATGGTACTAGTTTTACAAAGATTAATAAATATGAGAACGACTAATTAAGCAAACAGACGGTTAATAGGGCACAACCCTTAACCTCATTTTCACAATCTTCACACTTCAGCTTCTTCTGAAATAAAGAAAACGACTTGTTACCTAAAGTTAAAAAAAGTCAAATTTTAGTTTATGCAAAGCTAGTTGAGACAAACACTCTGTTATGTCTATTAATCACATCAAAAGTACCTACATTGTCCTTTTTGCGTGGAGGCACTATCTGCAAACAAGACAGACTGGATGCATGACTGTAGGATCTTTCGATTCCACGCAGACACAACACAGTCGCCTACTTTAATTCCTATCTTACTGTGAAGAGGCGGTTAGGTTTGACAGCCAAGAGTGCTTATTATCAAGCTACGAGGACTAACTTCCTCTTTGTTAGCGGCACAGGGCATAACAATGCTACAAATGCTCCTCTTTCTCTTCAAACGAGACGCCTAGCTTCGTAGGCATTTGATTAACTCACCCTCTTTACACGGTCCATTGCGCCTTGCAGAAAATTCAGCACAGGTCCCTAAAGGGCAGCAACATTAAGGAATGTGCTTTTCTTGGCGTCAGATCTAATGATAAAGCAGTCTACAGCTTAATGGCGCTTGGGTTAAGCGATTTCGAGATTATACAATTGAACCTACCCTGTATGTCGTGCGTTCCTCCTCCTTATGTAAAAAGGGGCATCAAACAAGCATTGCTCTTAGTTTTTTATAAAAAAGTAATTGCGATCAAGATCCTCCCCATCTACGCCAAAAAAGTACTTCTGCTATCTACCTTCCATCTGTGACATCCTACCTTTGCCATTGCATACATAAAAAAAGAACATGTCTGTGTTTAAAGAAATGTCTAGAATGCCATCTTTTGTAACGCATAATTTGCGATCCAAAACAAAATTTCAGGAACCTAACCCTCGTGTGAAAAGGTAAACCGGATCCCTTTTGGGAAGGGTAAAGGCTGTAGGTCGATTTCAAACCAAACAATCACTTTAAGATGCTTAGACACTTGATCGCAAAACAAATTGTCTTATCAACTCAGAAATTAGGATAAAAGGGACTACGGAACAGTTTCACTGATACTGAGCTAGGTGGATACGAAGGGAGAAATATAACGGAAAAAAAATTTGCAAATTACCCACTGCGCCTCCGTAATAGGTGGATCGACCATCTTCACGCCGCGAATTGGCTTTATAGACTTGATATGCCAGGTTTTTTGGCTTAAGCAGTCACGCGCCATTCACGTGCCCGCAGTCATCAGGTGGCCTGGTCGCGCCGACTAGTGTGACACCACATGCGCGAGAGCCCGCATTTAGCGGATCTCTCTTCTCAACCGAGGCGGGTATCATGCAACTATGATAGGGCCAGTTGATTGCCCCCTGTTATCTGGGCTGTCGCTAAGTCCAGTTTTAATGGCTACCACCACGGCAACGCCAAACTTGTTACGCAGTATGGACCACTCTGTTCGGTGAAGGGATTAAATTATTAATTGGAAGTCATTTTATGGGGCAATTTTACGGACAACTCAATGCAGAATTTCAGCTGTTACGTATTAGGCAAATCCATTTTTTTATGAAGCTAAAGAGTTCCACCCCAATTCACTTTCCCTAACAAAATCCCAATCATAGGACCATGCTGATATCCATTTCCTAAAACTGTCAGTTTTATTTTCAATTAATGGTGGAATACTGTTGTGTGCCGGAAGTACACATTTCACCTCCTCCGAATTACAGGACCATTAGGCGACCTCTCTTGTCAGCTGACTCCTATCAATCGTTTAACAGGTCATTCCCTGCACTAGAGTTTACAAAAACATGATAACCTGATATTAAAATGGATACACATATTTCCTCCGAAATAAACATGACTTAGGCCATGTTGACACTAGAACGAATCTGCTCTGCGCTAACTGGTCTCCCTTTAAGTGGAGACGCCACATTCACAGTGGACTTCGGTGAGTGGAGCGGCACAATGTTGGCACTACTTAACGGCGTAATGGGACGCGTGAAATGACGAAAAAAAACATAAAATCAAACACTTTATTTGAGATACAAGGTCATAGTTGGAGGGTGCGCGACAACTGGGAAATAAGCAACCAAATTAGAACACTGGCGCGCACGGAAGGTAGTGGTAAAGAAGTAGTTTTGTACACACGCTGTTGAAAACATTGAAGCAGCGGACGCATCTATTCCGACTTTCCTTTCTCCTCACCCTCGCCTTCGTGGTGTGGCTGACTTTGCTCCTCCACCCCCTCCTTCGCCTCCTGCTTGTGGTCCTCGTCTGAAAGCAAAATACGATTTTGTGTGTTGGTAGGGGCTTTCCACTCAAACCTGTGTCCAAATTGAGGTGCAGACTAACCTTTCACTGCTGCTGGCTCCGCCTCTTTCTTCTCAGAGGTGGAGGCCTCGCCGCTTCCTTCCTTCTTCTCTTCAACTTTTACTCCCTTGTCGTCCTTTCCATTAGCCATCGGCTCAGACTTTCTCTCCTTCTGATGACAAAATAGACAAGTTGTATTCGCACAAAAGTTACTTCATCTGGAGGTATTCAATGTGTCGTACTAAACGCACCTTCTTCTCAGTTTTGCAGGAGTGTTTCTGCAAGCAAAAGCGGTAGTTTATTTTGTGCCAAATGAAATGCTTTCATAAAAATTAAAAAGTTCCTGATACTTACTGCATGAAAGTTTGTCATTTTCTTCATCCAACTTCGCACACTGAGCTTCTTCTACAGGAGGAAATTAAACTGTCAATTCCTCTATCATTAAGAGTAGGTGGAGACAGATTAGATAGGTCTAAGTGCATTGAAGAATGTCAAATGCATTTGTCACACTTTATTTCACACCTTGGATTTTTCTCCCTTAGCCTCTTCATCGCCCTAAAAGCAAAGGAAACCATGTGTATTTTCCTCTGTTAAATCCATCTTTAGGTATTCCAATTCTGCATCATCAACCAACCGCTTTATCCTGAGCTGTCTCCTCGCAGGCTGGTGTTTCGGGCGCACCATCAGTCTCAGCTGCAACCTTTCAAATAATATTGGAAAAAAATTTCACATTGAAGTTTGAAAATTCTACTCCCGTCATGCTTGGGTGGAGATGGGGCTTAGTGTTAATTATAGCGCGTATCAAGCATTAAGTTGACAACAGAAAAGGTGGCAAGGTTGAATGAAGGTCTTACTTCAGGAGCCTCGATTTCAACCTCAGTCATTGTGCACCTCCACGCAAATAAATCCAATCCACCGCCGAATTTGGCTCATGGGCGATCCTCCAATCCTTATATTGAAAGGGGGCGCGTGACGGCAATTGGTTCACTCCAGGCTGCTTGAGTAGCCAATCCCCTCGCAGCCAGTTGTGTTTGTGCCGTGAGAGTGGTTGGCAGCCAGGGTGGCGGGGGGGGGGGGGGGGTGGGGATTTGGCCTGCATACACACACCTGCATGTATTCCATCCGTGCCTTCATTGTCTGATTGCGTGATGCACTAGTCATTACTGTTATGGGGTGTTGTCAGAAGCCTCGTTCGAATGGGACTGGGCATTAATCATCCAATCGCTAGCGCCCAGTTGGGCTCTCGGAGTCGGTTAGAAAGTAGGGCGAAGGCTCAAGTCACACGTCACCAAGCTTTTCAACCACAAAGTTGTTAAAGTGGCTGAGGCAAAGCCCATCTAGCAAAACTTCATCTCTTAATCGTCAACCCCTCCCCGATCGGGCACTACACAAGTTGCAGTGATTCAGTTACCTCAAAAAACTGAGACTGATAAAAAAGATAGTTGTTTGTTTCTTCTGCATTAGGACTATATTCCAACTGAGTGTTCGTTTATTCATTTTAAAAAGTTGATTAAAGCAAGGAAAGTATCTATGAACCATATTTGTTTGTCAGAGGTGGAGCTTTTTCACCTCTCATTTGCTGACGGGTCTTTGTCAAATTTTCTGCAATTCGGAGCCACTTCGAAACCGGATGAGACAGCATCCTCCGTAAAATGAGTGCCTTGCCCTTCTAAAGTGTCAAGAGTCTGAATTAAGGGATGAACAAGATGACGGTAAAAAGGTGTATTTTTGAACCTGTCTGAAATAAGATATTTTTAATGGCAGTTTAAGAATCCCAATTTTTGAGGGTCAAAAGATGTGCGTGGAAATAACTCTGGGTAGGATACGGTTAAGTGAGTTTCCTATGCAGCATTTGATTCACTGGTAAACTTTGCTAGAAAAATTTCCCTCCTAAAACCACATTCACACCCTTTTCTCGTAAAAATTTCACTTTTACATGATTCGATGATAAAGTAGCTAGCCGTATTCTTTTTCATCACTTGGATACATGCTTTTTCTGGACAGAAGAATGGTCCGCTCAAATACTACTAGAGGGAACAAACTACAGATCATCCACTTAGAGAATTTTCTGGGGAATTCATCCTCGAATCGTTGCCAAAATGAAGTTGATTAAAACATTCCATTAAAAATACTACTAATTTGAGCCTCACTCTCTAAAATGCAGGAATAATAATGGCTCTAAAGTTCTCCCGTTGAAGACCTTGAAACTCGGAGAGAGATTTTCAATTGTGCCATTGTTTTTCTAGTTACCTCTACTAAAACGATGCATCCACAGGAGTCCAAGTCCAAGTTACTAATAAGCCACATCGGGATGAAAGATTTATTTTCATACCAGTGCAGAAGGGCTGAGGGGTTTGGGAAGTTCGGAAAGCCATCCGGCCAAGCGGAAGTGCAAACAGCGGGCACAGCACACTTTTGCACTCCTCTTCCTTCAAATTCAAGGTTTTGCATTTACGCCAGCACAGGTTTTCACAATGAAGGCCATTCGTTGGAATTCCTAATTTCTATTTCAAAACACTGTTGCTAAGATGATGATACCAGTCTGAGTTAGTTAGCTGGATACGTAAAGCCGGTTGCCCTGTCTCAGTGATAAATTGAACTTGTAAACAAACCGCCCACCTCCTTCTTCTGACTCATTTAACCGTCCCCCACCTGGATCCCCACTTTAGCTAGTACGCTTAAGCTAAAAAATGGCGGTTATTTTCAAAGGAGTTAGCTATCCCGAGCTGAACAACGACATCGCTTTGACAAACAGAAGAACTCCGCCAGTGGGAAAAAATATGTGTCATCGAAGTACACAACAAAAAACGCTGTTCATTCACCTTTTCCGCTCCTATCAACGTCTTTTTGTTCATTGCTTCTTCTGGGGTTGTTATTGTCATCAATACCTCATTTTTTCGGCTAATGGGAGGTTTGTAAGTTCGCTGAATAATGGTATTGTTATGGTCACCAAGGCAGCCATTGTGTCATGTAGTCATGGAAATAATTTTATGTTGGCTTGCCAGAATTCTACATTCACTTCAAACCATCCACTATGGGCTAAGCAAAAATTTTTAGCGCGCAGACAAATGGAGGAAGCAAAATGTGCTTTATCATCGCCATCTTCCTTTGCTCTCCAAGATACATGTACCCATGGGGGCACTGGTTCTACACTTTTGCATTTCCATTCTCATTTTATGGCAATTAAATTATGTTTACTGATGGTGGATAAATTCACAGAAATCACTTTTTTTGGTTAAGCTCGTGGTATTTTCAAGTGGTGAGAGACCGCACAGGGAGGACCGCAAGCCAAACAATTAGATGAATGGGTGTCTTAAAATACTGAATGTCACAATGGTATAAACACTAGGTGTTTTCCATGCACCCAATCCATTCCATTAATCTCATCCATTGTCTACTTTTATAATCGCGCTGTTCTCACCAAAATAACTTATTTTTAGTAGTTTTAACATTTTTAAACAACCTCGAATGCTTCATTAACGTTACCAGTACACAACAAGAACACTTGACCACCGCAGTGGTGGTACTAGTTATTAATTATTTGCCACGTTTCCTCCTGGAGGGTGAGAGGGGACTCGACAGCCCCAGTTCAATCGCTTTGTTGTTCTGCTAATAACACAAGTTGTCATCAGTATTTGCAGGTTAAATTACAGAGATAACTAAAAGCAAACCATTCACCTATTATCATCTATCATTGCTTTAAACCGCCCTATTCTACCTTCTACACAATTTGGTAAACAGCTGGCAATAAATGATGAAAAGTTTATCACATTATTGTGACATTAGGTTAAAGTCAGAACACTGTGCGGTCATGTGTAGGCCAGCTGGTTAGGCTGAGTTAATAGCGGTGCATTGAGGCTATCGATAGAACATCGCCATCAACCACCCAAATCGGTGGTGGTTTACCTAAACTCAGAGATTTTATTATCTGACAAAGTACTGAGCCGTCAGTAAGCTAGTGGGTAACGTCTATTTTGACTCACTCTCAAGCTGCTGGCCCAAGTGTCTGCGCACATTAGACCGGGATTGACCCACTTGAGACTAGTGCAGTGAGGTACGCCTATCCATGAAGGCAGCTTATCACGCTATCTCTCAGTGACTGCATTTAAACGCCCCCAGACTTGCCTACTTTACACGTTTACGAAGTGGACGGTCAATGGACGTATTAATGTGTAAAAGTCGTGATTCATAGTTGATGTGTTTGTGACCAATGCCTTTTGGGTAAACAATGCATGCAATGTGCTTACCACAAAAAACGGCTGCCAAGCTTTGCTTTATTAAAGGAAAAATATTTAAGCCAGATTGTGTAAATCCACACATTTATAATGTAGTATTTAATCCTAAGTAACATTCAGGTTTAGTTACTGGAAGTTGGACTTAGTAGCAAGGATGCACTAAAATTCTTGTAACACTTTTGCTGGATTATTCCAGTAAGTAAGTGGAAGTAGATGGCCATTTTCCTGCAAAATCCACTAGCAGTGGCTTGACTTTATGCTCCATTCAATTAATTTTACCTCCTTTTAACACCTTCTTGCGTAGTCATAAAGTCTTGGCTGGAATACACCTCGAGGGCAATCTTAGTGACCAACATCAAACCGGCGTAAATACTTATTTACGTTAGATTTGTACACACCCTAATAGAAATCGAGTAAACTTTTTCAACCACCCAACTGAACTGAAGGTACGTAGATATTAAATTCTTTAACATTGTTCACATTTGGTGTAGTAACTTTTGTACATAATTTCATTGCATATATTTAAGTTACCAGGTTTCTAAAAAAGTCCGTTGATTCACACAGGCCAGATTTGCTGGAAAGACCTCTCACTTTCGGGACAAATCTTTTGGTTCACTTAAACCTGCTTGAGGTCAGTCCATTGTGACTTCTATAAACTGTAGCTGTGGTGGTAATAAACTTAACCTCAGCCACCTACATTTCTACCTCGTGTATATTTCCCATCCAAATGCCTATTTTATTTCGAAGGAGATTGTTTAGCCCTAGTGCTAGGAAAAGGTGGCGATCGTGCCCTTAGGAAATATCATCGCGGGGACGTGGCAGCAAAGGCATTATCATCCTTCCTCTTTCCTACCCTCACGGACAAGTTTTGCAGCGGCATGAGATGATGTACTAGCTTGTAACACGGAAAATGCGACCTTCTTTCCACTGATTCATTAGGTATAGCTATTTTTCTGAAGGATTGTATCGTGCATGTTCCATTTTTTGCATTGGTCAAGTAGATCTCAGCCATAACTGCTGCTTGTTCTTTAAGAAGTGAAAATTCATGACAAAAATTGCATATGCTGTGCCTCACTAATACACACACGCAAAGAAAAGTCTTGAAAGGATGAAGTGGTGCGTCCCTCGAAAACGTAGGATGAGTTAAGAGTGGGTTGTTCGGACATGACCAATGATACCTTCTTATCACAAGTCAGTGGACACACTGTGCTTTCCCACTAGCGCCTTTTTATGACGTAGGTGGGGAAAGGGAAGATCAAGGTGATATTATGCAAAACTTATTGTCATCTGTCAGCGTAAAACGACTTCCGCTTTCCAATTTGGTGTTGGTGAAAGCTAATTTCTCCATCAATCACATTAAAATTTACTGAAAATAGCTTTTCACACCATCTTTAAGTATTTTAATCAGTAGTGAATCGTAGCCTCTCATTACCACTAAGAATAGAAGGCTTTTTCAAAACTGTACATCAGCATTTTTGACTGAATCATTTGGTTGTGGGCGGTACCTGCCACCACCGCATGCTTTGCCTACTCCAAGGGCTGCTAAACAAATTTAATGAGAAATTAGTTTCTACAGACTTGAAAGCGAGTAGACAGCAGACAGCCTCGACCTATGCCCATCAAGTTCAACAGAAAGTAGACAACTTTAGGGTTGGAAGTTGGGAAAGGATAGTATGCGCAAAGTTTACCACGTTGATAGGCCAATGTATTCCTATCTAAACCTAATAATATATACATATAAGCAATTGCATGCATACAATAAGACCTCAGAAGTGGTACCAAGTCATTGTAGTAAACATCATCGGAACCTGAAATCTTCTACTACGCATCTAAAGAATGGATATATAAGTTAGGCATTTGGACCATTCTCTGGCTGTTTTTCGTTAAAACACCTGTGATTTTTACGCAAAACTCACATTTTGGCATGCGCTCATCACCTGAAACTCCATGCTATGATTTAATAAATGCAAGGCATGTTATGTACATGATTGTGTATTGCATAGTGAAAAGACATTCGGTGTCATTATGCCAAGCGCTAATTCAGGTAGGCAGTCAGGCGCAAGACCCGAGTCAATGTGTTTCACTACCCACCACTACCACCACCACCGGCACTGCAAATAACAAACCTTCCTGTTTTTACAACGCACAAGCACTTAGTATTTGTACTGTCACATTATCAGGAAGTTGGGGGTTAAAGGTCGTCCCCATTCGGTGGCGCAGCTGAATCCCACGGACTTGGTTGCAGAGGTAGTGTAATTATATGACAAAAAGTAACACTCCACCATCAAGTTGTTTTTCCTGTTCTATTGTTGTGTCTCACCCTATAGGGGGTGACTAAGGGAACAGAGTATGATATCTTATTAACTAAAATTGTCAAATATTTTAATCAAAATTTTTGCGGCCGCTCTAAACTAATGCCATTTAAAAAAAGTAAACATAGTCCAAATTTAGGGGAATTTTGCCTAATTTTAATTGAATTTAACGTGGTTTATTAAGCAAAGATGGATTGAATGACTATTTGCATAAGCAGTGAGGTCGCCAATTTCATCTAATCTACGGTCGCTTTTTGGGAAAAGTTTAGTCACGTCTGCTTCACCAGAAGGAAAAACATATTTAGTTGGGTGGACAAAATCGCTGAAGGTGATCTCTGCAACTTATGTGTGTGCGTGTGTGAGGATGTGTGTGCCCGGGTGCTTGCAATAGTCAGCACCCACTTGACCGTGTCCAACAGGCAAACCGCTGCCAATCAAGTAAACTCTGTTGGAGGATGAAAGGGCAACCAAAACATAGCTGAAAATTGTACTTTACGACTCCATCAGAAGAAGAAATAACAAATTAAGTGCATTTCAACATCATCTTCCACCTCGGATACACTTCGTGAACTTTGGGAAAAATCCCCTTCAAGAACGATATGTAATGCTTTGTTTATTCGCTTGGCTCTTGATTTTGGCTTCGGTGGCGCTTAGAGCTCTGTCTCTGCACTTCCGCTGGGTGGCATGTCCTTCAGACCATACCAGTAGCCCCAAGTTCTTCCGTACATCGACAATACAATTTCTGTCCTGGTATCCTGACTCCTGCCTACAGGGAAATCATGGGGAGCTGCAATAGTTGCAGCGGTAAACGAACCCGATCCTAAAGGACTGCTGCTCTGATTTCTATCGCTGAAAGTTAAACCTTAGTGTGACAGAAGAAGGGCATATTCTGTGGATGGGGGAAGTCTTGACGACCCCAGAAAGGAAAAGTTGAAGATGACATCTACCTTCGGCAACTACCACAGTCCCGCGTGCTGCAGGAATGCTCGTCCCAAGCGAAGTGGCACCAGTCGTCACCGTGAAATATCTGGGCAAGTTCGTTACGGAATAGAAGCAACACCTTATGGCTACGAAACTACTTTAAACCCCTACCTCTGCTAAATGACTCTGTTCTTAAGCCAGTGTTCTTACGACTAGCGATGGACTCACGCGATGGCCTGGGTATTCCTTCCTTCCTCCAATACAGTTCCCAAACAGGACAAAATTCCACATCTAATGAAAATTGTTAAGAGAAAACAGTGAAATTGCGATCAAATACCTTCCCACTTAAGTGAAAATGAGACGACTGACACGGCTGGCTTGTGAGTGTTTTTCCCACAGCACCATCTACGCTGT